TAATGCACTGGAACCATTATCAGAATTCTGCATGGCTATATATGTTTTCTTACCATATAAATGTTAAAGAACGTTCTCATTGGACGTGTATTTGCGGTAGGTAGTCTTCAGAATGTGTGTTACTTATCCGTCAAGCATTGAACATAAGATTACATTTAAAACCATTCGATAGAAGTCAGTGCAAACTATGTTGTTGAATTTCTATTACTTCATGATAAAATCTTATAAAAACACATGTTAACACTGTGGTTACATGGCTAAATCCGGTAAACTTATCAGATTTGGGGCTGTGTCTGCAGTGATTTGCGGTGGAGATAATGTGCTTTTAAAATGTTGGCCAGGGGTAGGGTTAAATCCACGACTTCATTCACAGTAAGTGGAATTCAATCGAATTTTCAAAAAAAAAAAAATAAACGTAATCAAATTATGTCTTCAAAGCATAGATATTTGACAATTAATGGCAACTATACCCCAATGCTCAATATACCCCACTGTGTTTATGCAATTTGTGCTGCATGATGCGTTCATACGTTTAGTGTTATTGTAAGACAATCTGTTTCTGAATCACCGCAATTTCGTGTTTTCTTTAGTTTATCGTGGTATAAGTCTACAACGTACAACATTTTTTATGATATACTTTGAGTGTCGTACTCTGAAGGATAAATCTGGCGACAATAACACCCCGCAAAGTAGTGAATATCTACTGTAAATAGATTAATTATTCACTGGGTTTTAATTTTGCTTATTTCGCTGACTGGAAAATGCGCTAAATTAAAATTTAGCATAGAACACATTATCTAAATGATAAAACCGTGAATTTAAAACCTACTGAATATGCCTGAAATGGTAAATCAGCGAAATTTAAACCCAATATGTTATACCTACTAAAAAGTAATATGACGTGACTCTTCTGAATGTATCGCGTTGTAATTATGTATTGTACTTTTAGGTAATTGTGAGACCGAAGAGTTCCAATGCAATGATACTAGCTGTATATCACAGTACTGGGTATGTGATGGGTATAGTGACTGTGAGGACGGTGAAGACGAGGATGGCTGTGACAACAGTATGTTAATATGTATTGTTTCTCTGTCTGTCTTGTATAAATGACAACTTATACTGATTTGCGTTGTCTTGTTTTGGCATTGTATATCGACTTTTTTTTTTCTAAAACCACGCGCTGGGTCTGCGTTTTTTTGTATTTTGCGACGCGCAACATAGAGGGCGCTTCAATATGATAGACATACGTGTACATGACAATAACGATTGCTTGAAATGTCCCCTTAACTCAGTAGAATGTTATTCAATAACAATATTTTCAAATCTGTTTTCGTCTGTAAAAACACATGACATAGTATGCTTCATCAATACCATATGCACTCACATATCTTGTTAGTTATTGGAGGAGTGAATACAAACAAACAAACAAACAATTATTTCCTTATATGTTATAACTTATATGTTAGTATATTTGAATAAATTAATTCCTAGAATGCACGTGTTAGTAAATTTGAATCAGTGAAAATTAGACATACCAATCACGAACTGGTTGTGGAATACATAGTCATCTCAGGCTGCTGTAACTGTATTATTGATGTTATTTTCTTTCTGTTAGGCGACATTTAAAATTAAGTCGATATTTACCAACTGAGTAGATTATAATAATTTGTATTTGGATTGCTGGCTCACGTACGCAAATATAAGTAGCACATATATACAATAGAAATAATAATTTCACAAGACTCGCAATAAACAACAATTAAATTAAAGTTGCTCTATGAGTATAAAGGCATCATATCGGGGGAAATGCAGCGGATTTAATTTACATGTTCATACAATTTGTCGAGGACTTAACTGTTAACAGTAAATGAATAAATTGCTCATGCGTGTTTCTCGTGTGACCTTCTAAATATTGTGACCGAAATTTGTTTCTGAGATGACCCCAACAAGGGGATTTTAAAAGAAAAGAAAATTTATCCTCAACTGCTGAAAACTGTCTATAATATATTTCTTTGTCTAGAATCTCCGAATCCATTTCTTAAATCCTTTCAACTTTTAGACCGATTTCCAGTGGAAAACCAGTCGATAAATGTTTATTTATCGCTTGCCCTGTTTGCCACACACCAAATCAACGCCCGCTTTTCGCAAGACCAACTGTATTTCAGTTGGCCAGAAGCGTTTTCCTCGATTGTGAAATTCGACATTCAAAAAATCTCTGTAATTATTACCATAATGTAACTCGAAAAACGTCACTATATTCAAATGTGTCTGTATCTCAAATTAGGTGAAGACTTCTTTGTCTGCGATGGAGGAAATCGGACAATACATGTCAGCTGGTTATGTGATGATTATGATGACTGTGATGACGTAACTGATGAAGACCCATCAAACTGCCGAAGTAAACATTTTTATATCTATTTCTGAAAGATTGTTTTAAGAATAAAAAAAACTTGTCTAGTAGTATTTGCAATGCTTCTAAGCGGCACTATCGTCGTGGAGTGTGCGCTCGGATTTCGTGATCATTGTATTTTACCCGCGTTTTATACATCACGTGGGACCCATGGCGACAACCGTGACTGTGACACTTTAATTGATGTTCAGGTTGATAATAATTGTTCAAAAGTGGACGGTACAGATTATAATTCATACCTTAATGATCAGAGTATTCTGAGCGTTTGCAGATGCTCTCATATAACTAATCTTAACCCATTGCTATATTGACGTTTTGCATAAACTCAATCAATGTTCATTCTATCATTCACAGATTCTACTTTAACTGCAGCGACAAGTGGTAAGTTTTCGAACGCGAATTTTTCCTCAGCATTAGTAATATACGATTGTCATGATTTCCCATTAACAGTGAACAATGTTGTATTGCTGCACTGATTACCTTGTTCTACTCTAAATAAGTTGATTCATGAGAAACAAGCACATAACAACCATTATAACATGTAACTTCTTCAACAATACTCACATGGACTACAACTCAACAATCTTATTCAACGACCCGAGAGCGTCAATGTTACCCCTGCATTCGGAGATATCGCAAACAATCGTAAGAGTACGGGTTATCTTGGTGACGGTCGTAGAAATCCATTCGTACAATTGCGCTATCATTTAATAATGTCCCGTTTATGTCTATTATTTCAGCTCCTTTAACATTCTATTGTCAAACCTCGGGTGAAGAGCTGGCATGGAAGTACGTTTGTAACAACGTTGTGGATTGTGACGACGCAAGCGATGAAATTAACACAGGGTGTACAAGCGGTAACAAAATAATACAGTTGTTGATATTTTCTCACTTTATACTACGCTTTATCGAGCATTTTGCTGGAATCACAGTTTGAAAAGAGGTGGGTTCCACAGTTTTATCGCGGGAGTTACTAAATGTACGTGGAACATTGCGATTAACTATGCCCATCATTACGTCAAAGGTAAAACTATTATACACACATCGTGTTTTATACAATCTTTGCCAGGACACAGAGGCAAGATTCACTTTGTTAAAACAAATATTAAGAAGTAGTTTCACTAGTCTTACAATTCCATACACGTGCAAACTCAATTTACATTTCAGTGGTGTCCGCTAGTTACCGCCCGACAGCAGATGAGCTTTTGTCCTTATACTCGAGTATCTCAGATGACATAACCGTGTATTCCGAGTTCTTGGACGGTTTCTACCAAGATCATTTACTTGGCAGAGTTGTAAGTGAAGATCCACCCGACTGGTATGGGTTTATTGCGTACAGTAACACCCCTGATTACAGCGACTTAGAGAACGTGTTAAAACTTGACGTGAATGAGACTGCGGGTTATGGACATCAACTGAGTGACCTTGTATTGGAATGCTCTTTTGATGCGACCTCCTGTAACGTAACTAGGTAAGTAGTATTTTATTTCAGCGATTTGTTGCTGTTCAATATAATCACATAGGAACAGCATGTACACACCCACACACACAATAATTACAATTATTATACATCTGTCACCGTAACGCCATAAGTTACAGCGTGCCGTAATTTTGCGATATTGCACTGGGTATTTTAATCCTACTATATTAGAAATGCGAATTCCAAATATGGAAAGATTACGCGCGTAAGCGTCCTCTAATAATAAAAAGAACCTTGGCAGCCCCAAGGTTTGACCGGTCTTCATACAACGAAGTTCGCTCAATCTCAAAACTTTTTGTATTTCGGCATTTCCGCTGTACTGTCTTCGTGCATACTTTTCGGTATCCTCATAATAACCTGATATCACATAAACTTTCTACCAGCTGCAGTGCAAGCCAAAATAATGGCTAATTAAAGGGAATATGCCTTTTCATTAGTCGCGCTCTCTTGCGATGAAAAAAATTCCGTGACGTCAAACTGACGTAGATGAATGGAAGAATGTGTAGTCCGTCGTTATTTAGAATATAGCAACTCAATCTCCCAAACATTATTCTTATTGATGAGTGATGTCACAAATGCATGATGGCGCGACTTTTTGGACGATGTATTGAACTTATCAATTTATTTACTAAGTGGAGCAGTGTCGTGTGCAAACATATTTTAGACAGCATTCTGTTTAATTCTCAGGGATTTTCAGGAATTTTATGATGACAGGTATGGCAACTGTTACCAGTTTAACCCTTTCAATGGTAACCAGGATGATGAACGCTACTCAACGAAAACTGGCGCTAATTATGGCGAGTATGAATAAATAAATATGATATGATATAAATTTATTCAGTACAATGGCCTCAGGCCTATGGTACAATAAATAAAAAATAGAAAAATACATATAAAGTGAATCCTTTAAATAATTATTGAATCTACAAATCACAACTTGTTAAATAGCTTTTCTCTATGATTAGAAGCGTAGAATACAAATTTCGAACTTTGAAGAACAGATAAGTTGTCAAACTGCATTAAACGAAGAAATTTTTCATAAATAAATATTTGTTTCTGTCGGAAAACAGATAGGAATGAGAAGTTACCGAAAACGAATACTTTCTCTGGGATTGTGAAATGTTCTCCTACAGTGCGATGAAACGATATCCTAATATAATTGTAAATCTTTTTTTATTAACATTAATATTTTGGCGTGCATAAATACACTTGGTAAAATCTATCAATAAACCTTATCCTACTAACCCTATATACTTTCACATTGACTTGACCAGATAAGGGTTTATCACGTGTTTATAAATTACAGGACTAAAGATGACACTATTTACCGAGCAAGATGAATACATCAGTGTGTACGGTCGAGATTCTGGTGCAAGGGTTGTGATTCATCCACCACATGTCCCTGCCATTCCATGGTCTGAGGGAATCACAATACCCCCGGGAATGATTACATCCATTGGAATGAAGGAGGTAAATAAACATCATATATTGTGATATGTATTGTGTTGCTAAGAGACGTGGCGTGACTACTATTATGATTTATCCGATGTTGTCACATGCTAATGTATGTGTTAATGATGTTACTCATGGATTTGTATATGCCAAGGAGGTTAACCGTGGTTTCGTATATGTTATTAATACGAGTAATAATGGTTAAATATATCAATTAGATTTCTCCTGGTTTCCTATGTTAATGAGGTTAATCGCGGTTCAATATATGTTAGGCAGGTTAATCGTGGTTCAATATATGTTAATGAGGTTAATCGAACGTGGTTAAATATATGTTAATGAGGTTAATCGTGCTTCAATATATGTTAATGAGGTTAATCTTGCTTCAATATATGTTAATAAGGTTAATCGTGGTTTCGTACTTGTATATCGTTTTAGATGAACGTAATCGTGTTTTTGTTTCGTTTCAGACCAGGATCAAGCGACAACCACATCCTTACGGAAACTGCACTGAACAAACCGAATTCGAATCTATGTACGGTACTCACTACACTCAGACAGTAAGTTACCGCTGTGTATTTGCAAGTGGTGTATTGACTAAAACATTTTGGCATTTACAATACTAACTGAGGCAGGATCGAGAACATACAAATTCTTGAGCATTTTCTTAATGTTTTGCCTGAATGCGAGTGGCATAATGTGAATAAACATAAGACTATATTATATATATATATATATGTATATTTATGTCTGGGTACAGAAGACTATCGCTGTACAGCTCTAGATGCCTTAATAACGTTCAACATTAAAATAAACAGTTGTCGTTCTGCATAATTGAGTATTGCGAATGCAAACTTTGAAACCGAGGTTAATTTATCAGTTTGACAAATCCCGGTTTAAAAGAATGCAAATAGTGAACTGTGAATAACTGAACATATTTATCATCTTTCTGACAATATCCATATCACTTGCATTGATTTTAGATTTGCGAAGAAGAGTGCTTACAGGCGAAAATGTTAGAATTTTGTGGTTGTGTTGATACAATGTTGAGGGATGAACCTCGCTGTATGCTGCTCAATAGGACACAGGGTAAGATGCAATACGGTGGTTTGTGATGTGATGTGATGTGATGTGTTATGCGATGCGAGGGTAATGTTAATTCAGTGATTTCATACAATGAGGTGCGATGCGTGCGATCGTGATGTTAAGCAATGCGATACGATGGTATGTGAAGGGATGTCACGTTGCATGTATGCGATACGTTAATTCTATTGGCTGTGGGGAAATACGGTGGGATGTTAATGATGTGTGCATGATGTGATGTTACGATATATGATTCAATGTGAAGCTATTATTAATCGGTAATGTGATGTGATGTACGGCTGCCATGCTATGCAATGCTATGTTAACTGTACGAGATGTGACACAATGGCATGCGATACTAAGATAATGCTAAGTTAGATACTAATGTTGTACGATGCGATAAATACGATTATACTGCTATGCTATGTAAAGCTGTGTAATGGTACATGTACATGCATGTGATTTTAACACTCTGGGTATGCATGAAATGCGATTAAATATGATTCATGCTACCGAATCATTTACGGGATTATACACGAGAAAGTTGTCCGATTTTTTCCAGATTCTTGCAAGCAATTAATTCACTATCTCGCTCGAAAGGAAATATTAGATTGCAGTTGTAGTCAATCTTGCACGTGAGTATTAATGAAGTGGATAACGATTCGATTATTAGAATAAGTGAATATTTGTGTCCATCTATGGGTCTGTAAAGTATTTTTTTCTTCTATTTGTCAGTCTGTGTCATCGTGGGAGGGGGCGGTTGTTCTTTCATAATCAGCATATATGAATATTCGTTTTTACAGGGAGAGCTGGTACACAACAACAACCTCCCAGTCAGTATGGCCATCTAATACATATCTAGTGAGTATATCTCCAATCCAGAATGTTTTATGAATAATATGTTCCATTTTTATACTTATTACTGTGTTTTGAAGCTTTATTGTGGTACTAGCAAACAGTTTATGTTTTAAAAAAGAAAGAGTACTTACTTGGTAAATTATGAACGAAAACTGTCCACTGTCGAAGGTTAGCCGACTTTTAGCGCAATAAATAAAGCCATCAGGTAGTATTACAGATACTTGGAAGCGTAGATAAGAGCAGATTTGGGCCGAGGTATGATTCTCTAAACTTTTACTTAAGGACCCCAAAATAGTTTGTTAATTAACGAAAGTGGTTGGGAAGAAGTACAAAATTATAATGTGAATTTGAGAATACTGCAAGTTTTTTTTTACTGTTTTCCGCATCCCCATCGCGGGTTTGGTGTTGTCACACATACGTGTGTGTGGAAGTTCTTTTGTATAAAAGGATATAGGGCCAATATAATGATATCACACCTGATTTATGTTTGTATCATAGCGAACTAAATGTTGCATCCAACCGCAAACTACGCACACTTCGCTCATTCAGTAGAATAACCATATCTGCATTCACACAGCTCGTCGATCTGAAAAAAGTTTGTTCGATCCCAGGGTGTTATTGCTCAAGAAATGTTTTATTTTTAAATAGAAAGGGTAAAGCTGCACTCTTCACTTGGATCATGCGAGAACAGCGTTTTTCTGAAAAAAAGTCCCTTCTAGTGAACGGGTATTTTTGAGAACATAGAAACAGACTTATTAATAGCAAATAAATAGTACATTCCTATTAATACTGAACTGAAAATGTTATATTACTAAAAAAAGGTAGAGTATACGTTTAAAGAAAATATAATCTCCGACAAAACAGTTCGGGAATCATGGTGGATAGATTCGCCAATCATTTCTAACGAGAGAGCTATATTGGGAATTAAATGCACATGAATTCTGATGAGGGTCCCATACTATGGATAACAACGTATGGCTTAGGAAACTTGATTTGCATGAACATTGAACCCATTTGTACTCTCGTAAACTAAACAAATAAACGACGTAGCCTTATTACAATATTTTGCAAAGACGCATTGTGACAACATGTGATTTAAAAGTAATCTTTATTTCTTCCACAGAAACATTTACTTAAACAAATCCACTATAACAATGCCAAGACAAATGTAATCAACGATCTAGAAAGCGTCAGGTAAGTTATATACACTGGCATATAGGAAGATTACTTTCACAATAATATTTATCAAAACTACAGCTGTACTGTCTTCGTGCATACTTTGAGGTATTCTTGTAATAATCTCATTATTATACAACTTTTCCTTCCACGGATACACCATGGAAATGCCGAAATCCAAAAAGTAATCATTCCATATTTGGAATTCGCATTTCCTTGTATGGTAGGATGGAAATACCCCGTAAAATACCGCAAAATTACGGCACGTTGTAATTTATGGCGTTACAGTGACAGGTGTATAATAATAAGTATGTTCATTTGATACCTAGTGTATCGTTGGGATATACATGTTTTGCAACTTTTGAAACGCACGAACTAACGCCGGAAACTTACAGTCAAAATACGTGCAGTTCGACTTATGTAAAGTGACAGCATTTGAATTTCTAATTAAATAAGCAAAATAAAGTAGTGTTTAGACATAACACGCACTAACTCAAGAAAGTCGGAGACAACATAGTCGACGATTCCAGAATATAAGCAACAACTGTCGATACATACAATACACATTTGCTTTTAGGGCTGCCATAGTTTACAAACCTGCATATACACCTTAGATTCAGTCATCAGATAGAAATGTGTTTTAGTAACGACTGTGTTTAATCTGCACTGTGAAAAACCACATGAACGGATTTGTATTAAATTCTTTATGTGTACATTAAATTTCAAAATGTTTTTCTTTCATCTCAAGGCAAAACCTGGTACGCTTAGAAGTGTATTTTGAAGAACTAAATTATGAAAGTATCGAAGAGATTCCAGCAATCACGGTAAGTTGTTTAGTAAAATTATTTCAGTTTGCTCTCTAATATTATATGTACATGTACTAAGGATTTATTAATATCGGAATATAAGACAATATTGTTGTTTAACAAAGGTAGAACCATTACGCACGTACGGCGTCGGGTTGTTAAGACCCATGCAGACGAGTAGTTTAACATCCTTGAAGTATACCATAAACTACTGTCATATGTGTTTTCTGAAGTTTTTATGAACATTTGGAAACCGATAGGCTACCCATCAATGAGAAATTGTATATTACATGTATTCTGACGTAATATCTTAAGGTGGCATTGAGAATCTTGCTATCGTTATGCAATTTTACTTACAGGAAGAAAACCTACTCAGTGATATTGGTGGAACACTTGGTCTTTATTGTGGATTTTCCTTTATAACGATAGTTGAGTTTCTTCAGTTTGGTTTTGAATTACTCCGCGTGATATTTTTACGAAGTACTAAAGTTGCCCCAAGTAACGGCAGCCATGCTTGATTTGTAAATAAAGCAGTACAATATAAACTAATGTACTCCATTCTATTAAATCAACGAAACTTTTCAAACACACCGTTATGCAATTTATATCATTTAACCACGTTCTAACTACAATCGAAACAAGTTTGCCCCCCCCCCCGTCACTCGAGATCAATTTATGCACACTATTGATTTGAACGTAACGCACTGGAATTTCTCACACGACAGTTATTTAACACACGGTTACTAAAAAAGACCGTTAGGAAACGCCATTGTTAAAAGGTGTGAATCTGCCTAATCCCTCAAGGATGCGTGTCTCGCTGTGTACGCCCTCTATTGCTTGAGATTTCAAGGACTGGTCCACCATTTTGCTTCATTTTTGTGTCGATCACTTGATGTTCCGCGAATTTGAAATTTTAAGCTTGTTTTCGATAGAATATCCACGTTTAGTGAACAAGCTCTACGATGAACCACACGTACATTTCGGATGAGTACTCTTTGTGACTGTGAAAACATTCAGAATCGAGAATCGTCATTTATCGTTTTCACTGTTGTCATGAGAGTAAGCTTGGGTCCCGGTAGAAAAGTGACAAAAATTCTAACCCCAAGTCACTATTTTAAAATACATTATATTATAAAAAATACTACCAAATGAATTTTCAGTATACTACCGTGCGTACTTATGAAGGTTGTGTGCGATTTGGGGGCTTATTAGAGTAAATTTTATAGTTATGCTTACGCATCACTGTATCAGCCATTTTGTTTTTTTTTAGTAACAGTGTTTAACACAAAGCGTTTGACTACAATCAGTGTAAGCCGTACATATAGAACATTTACACTAGTTTTAACGCAAAGGGTTTAACAGCAATGCCCACATGTATATATTTAATAGGTTAATGTGTATAGCTTTTATATCGGTAATAACCATTTGTATCCAACAAATTGTTGATATCGCTTTGTGGATGTCAACAGTATTTGCATATCAGAAATGGAATTTTATTCGTACATTTTATTTATTGTTTTATGTATTTTATGAGTCCTGAAAATTGTGGAGCGACACATCTACAGATTCATTATTAGCATAAACTTGTATCGGTTTGTAATAAATGCGAATTTGTTACACTGCATAGCGTTATTTTATGTTGAGTGCTAGCTTTGGTATAATTTTTTCCTATGAGGTGGTATTGCAACAGTTGCAACATGCTGATACAAAGTATTTTGACGCGACAATGTATCCAGCAGAAAGTCGATCTGATAGTTTGTAATTGGGTGGCATGATCATTATTTAATGCCATTCCAGGCGTGAACTTTGGTACTTTTTCGAAATAACGTGGAATCGATAGAGAATGTACAGTAAAAGCATAAAAGTAGGGGATACGGGCCTAGGATACCGTTGAACTTCTGCTTGTACGTTGTTCATTTGCATAATCACCACTGGATAATTTGATTACCTTAAAACAAGAGTCACCATGAACTGCGTTAAATGGAAGCAAACCATCTCCCGATTCTGAAGTACGATGCTGACTGTACCACGTGGGCGATGTATAGATAGTAAATGTGTAATTGAAGGTGGTATGTTTCGAGTGAGGTGGGCAGAATGGTGCCTCCTGGACCTCGTAATATGTTGACAAGTAGAGCACGAACACAGAAGGTTAATTCTACATATTACATGTCAGGTTTAACCAGCTATATTGGATGTGAATAGTATTGACCACTGCCATAAAAAAGTAACATTTGTTTTTGATCAGACAAATTGATACATTACACATCGGCAGATGCACTACATGATGTGGCGCATATACAATATTATATATACAATACTATCATAACTGCGTACAAATGCGAGATGAACATCCATTCAGTGGCACATACCCAAACATGAATATAAATATATGGTTTTGTAAGGACTTTATTTGTCAGTAATACACGCTTGCATATAATATTTGATGCCAATTTACAAAGATTTAGCAGGGCATCAACTCGTTTTAATTAGTTACAATAATCAGCTCATTGTTAAAGACCACCTTGATTAAATTTCAAATGATTTAAGAAGTACGATTTTAAAAGATACAACCGATACTTAAAAGTACAAAGAAATAAAACGCAACTGTTATTTTATCTCACGTGTATTAGTTACATAACTACTCAAGTCGTACGGAAAAAAAATATCAAAATGAATATTCAGGATGTTGAAACAAGTACAATCCATACTAGTATTACAATCCATGCATATACGTAATGGTTAGAATTCAAGTGACACTTTTGTTGCACACGCTAAATCCGGATGCACGGCCACTTAATTACTATGGAACTAACATTTGTGCACATTTTCAAAATCAACAGCTAAATCAAACCAATCAGACACAGTTATTGTAAATTAAAAAAAATGTACATTTTCAGCATCACTTAGATTATACTCTTATCATTTGTAAATATGAAAGTTGAATCGGTTATACTACGTTACACATGTTCACCCACACTCGAATCATGCTGGGATAGGGAACAAAAATAATCCTGTCATTTCCCAAGAGAAGTCTGTGCCACAAAATAAAAACATTACTCGTGTTATATATAATTGCCGCCTAAATTATTTAGCAGTAATGTTAAATAAATTTGAAATCAAGAAAAAAAACAATTACAGAATGTACCGTGTTAATATAACTATTCTCGTACTGATGTACATTTTAAGATATAACACAATACATACTATATAATCTCATGTTGTACATGTATAACAAATATAGATAATTACAGATGTTAAGCATACATCATTGAAGACGAGCATGCGGCCGACAGAAATATCCGCCGTACCTGCTATGACGATGAATACATTAGCTCAATAGAATACACGAAAAACTCGCGCGAATAAAAGTGTGACTTGTTTCCCCGTAAAAGAACAAATCATTACTTCCGTTTTAGCAGTTTTAAATGGACAACTAAAACAGTCCGACAAAAAAAAAACTTACCATTTTGTTTCCTACTGGGAAATGCTTAAATTGCCATGGATTCTCTTTGAAACCTTGACCGCTACCTCAAAATTACTTACTTTGTAATTGGTCCAGGTACACGTTGCTAGTGGCAGTTATATACAACGAGACTTGTTTGATACGATTGTCCCTATTCAAAAAATAATACGTGTATAACAGTTGGCTTTGTTGCCGCGTGAAAATGCAAGTAGTTCTACTATGTAGTAAAAAAAAAATCCAGTCAGTTTGTCTGATGTTGTGCAGTATACCATGGGATACCTCCATGCATTGCCATATGTTTGAATTAAAAATTTAAAACCGCGGAAAAGTCAACAAAACTATTTTAGAACCGGGAATTTGTAAGTTTGCAATAGTTATGACGACCCCGGCTGTTCAGTATATTCACTGGCGATATGCAAATGAGTGCGTTGTTTAATGCCAGATATTTATTCTATGTGACGATATTAAAATAAAGTGAATGTCGCATTCACTGGCTGAGGATTATAGGGAGTTATTTTTATTGTTTTGAAAAGCCCTGAATTTTATATGTTGCGTTACTGGGTCGGTGAGCGAGTACGCCTATGCTAAGTTAACCAATAGCTCGACAACGTTTAAAAGTAGGTGACTGTCCATGCACGCTCTTCTACGAAAATTGATGACGTGGTTACGAATTTCATGTCGATTTTGTATGTACGTTATAACATGACAAAGCACTGGCGTTTATCGGGTATGAACGTTATTGTTTCATGATACGGTGTATCAATGCTGAGTTTTCACTTGCTTGCGGAAGCAGGATACGCCGCATCACAAGTGGATATATGAATGAGGTTCTGTTAGGGTAATGTAACTGATAAAACGAAATGTCTAGTAGCAAGTTAATTAACTATGATTAATTATTATATACACATAACCCCAAGTTTCTATCTATTTCATTTGAAACATTATAAAACATTCTATTGCATTTAGCTAAGAACGGTGCACGAAATTGCAAGAGATCCATCAAATATCCAAATGTGATTGAATACGCGATAATAGCGGGACACATTCGCGGACACGGATTTAAGAAAGTAAATCGTGCCTGGGTAGGGCACTGGTTGAAAATTACATAACAATTACATCAGAAAAAATCTGACGACATGGTTAATTGATAGTCCTACTGAACATTAGAAATCAACTGCATAGCCATCTATATGCCAGAGTGAACATTGAAACCATTACAATACTGTGAACCTAGCCTATACAAATACAAACTAACACCAAGTACCAACTTATAACTTGTAAACATTTTTTTAAAGCGTTTTTTGTTTTGTTAGAACTGTTTATTTTAATACATTTGTATAACATTGCCTTGCCCTTGGAATGAATACACGTTTTAACGGATATTCTGTTACAAGTTCGGTAGTTGTAATGCCTGGCACAGCACTAAGAAAGAACGAGACACTGAGGGATAATGACAAACGTCGCATACCCGGGCTTGTCATCCGTTTAATGATACAGCTAACTCAAAATCTTCAATCTTCAAAAGGATGGGCGACATACAAGGCGATCGACACCCCGACTGATGAGTATTATTATAATTGTTTAACAAAGGTCGCGCAATTCGTAGGGCATTTGCTATTAAACTATGTACTTGTAGCAAAGTTATAGCTAGGAAAACGACAAATCCGGCATTGTTCTAGTAAATATTAACTAATGTGCCTTGAATGGTAGTGCGACACGGTCCAGAGATCAGGCAATTGTGTCAACATTCTTCCTGGTCGACAAAAGCAACGCATGCATTTCTCAGGGCGTCCATGATAAACAGTGAATCAAATCCACCCCCCGAAAAATCCAAAAGCATGGTCGAAATAATTAAGTAACGCTCCTAGACATTAATATCACACATGTGTAACAACATCCAATGTGTAAACACATATAGCAAGACTTGGCTATTCCCAAGAAGTTGAAATCGTAATTTCTCGCCACACAACGACTAACGAGACGTACGACTAAATACAACAGAAGTTCATCTATACTATTGTAAAGTAATACGACTCGTGGTTTTCAAGAAAAAAA